AAAAAAAAAAAAAAAAAAAAAAAAAAATAATGATAGTGACAACAACAATAAGGAAGGTACTACTAGCCTTAAAAGTAACCAATATTTCACTCATTCTGGCCACCAATTTACAAATTTTTCTCCTCCTTCCTTTTTTCTCCCAATCCAAAGTACAAATACTGAAATGGTTAAAAGCATTATGGTCAGTTGGTAGACATCCTAGCCTTATTTCTTTCTTCCTTTCCATCACACTACTTTTACCCCTCCACCAATAAAGACGGCAACAACAGTCAAACAAAAGTCCAACTGCACAAAGGCGTAACAGCTGCGTAATTTATTCCATTAAACCGTTCTGTGAAACAGTTCAAAGCGGAAGAGGGAAATTTTCTTCCCTAACATCAAAAAGTTGTCTTGAACAATCCACTGTCTTTTTATTGCTCTCCGTTTTAAACTCTAACAGCTCATCAAGTGACACACCGTTTTAATATAAGCATATAAAAATGCAACAAAACGTTTTTCGTTAGCCTCAAAATGTACCCACATAATACCATAATACCATATCAGATACCTTACTACAGAGACCCTAGAGAAAAATTTTCTTATTTGAAAAAAATTAAGAAAAAAAAAAAAGACAAAAGAATTCAGAATAACTATTAAAAAACTGAAGTTCATCTATTCTATTTATTCGTCAAGAACTGTGAGTTACTAACAAAAATGACAACAAAAAAAAAGAAAATGACACCAATTTCGGTTTACAATGAAAGAAATATATCTAAAAAGCATTTGAAAGCAAAATCCGTACAAACTTTTAAAGAATAGGAAACCGTAAATGATGTTATCACAACTTCAAAAATTATTCATAAATTTACATAAAAAAGTAGTGTGGGTGATTATAATGGCCTCCCTCCGCTTCAGAAGTTACGGATCATTTGCAAAGCGTAAACGGCCAATTGACCGTATTATGTAAGACCCGTTACCGTCTGCCAGTCATCTCAGTCTTAGATTTCCAGCAGAACAAACAGATCAACAGAAATCGTAAACCACAAAAAACTGGCAAAAAATTTCTCTTTTTTTTAGATAATAA